CCAAGAAAGAATCCCATCCTTCAATTTCATAGATTTTGAAATAACGTAAAACAATTAACCCACAAAAAAAACCAAAAGAAGAAGAAGAGGAAACAGATTGAGGCTCCTCTTCTGCTGATCAAAATGATATCGAATGAAGCTTTTGATTGGAGTTGCTATGGGGATCGGGTGAGTTAAGTGCAAATTACAAAAATTAGATCTTAAACAATGCAAATTTTAAAACATTAAAGAACAAATACGTTTGAGCATATCAGATTATTAAAACTTGGTAAGAAAAACAAAAGCTTCACATTGAAATTACTTTATCAATTATTTATAGAATACTCATTCTTTTTAAATTAGTGGGTGAATAAGAATTTTGAATTTTTAAACAAAAAATGTTACTACTAATTTAAAAATTCTGATTTTGTTAATTTTTCTAAGAATTGTACTATTTATAATATATCAATGGTCAAAGTTGTGCATCGACAAATGTGAAAAGTTGATTGTTGCACTATTTAAGAATGGAGAAAATATTAAAAATCTAGGAGAAATGGCTATATAGCCTGAAAAATAGGCTACATTACATTAATAACCTCTTTTATTTTTAATGAAGTGTACCACATTTTAATGACTAATACGAGTATATAAAATTTGACGAAGTTAAATACAATATCAACTCGTAATTGATAATAAAATATGTATTGAGTTAACATGCATAGCTGATAAGTTTATAGAAAAATAAAAAAAGCTATATACTTTATTTTGTAATATAAAGATGTGACATCAGAAAATGCACTAAATAGGAATAAAAACGTTTTGAAATTCCAAAATAGGAGTATCATGTTTTTTATTCCCTGAATAGGAGTAATCTGCCAAGTTTGGAAGAAAATGTCATGTTTAAAAGCCTTGTAATGCCAAACTTGGCAGAAATTTACTCCTATTCAGAGAATAAAGAACATGATACTCCTATTTTGGAATTTCAAAACGTTTTTACTCCTATTTAGGGAATTCTCTCATGTGACATTAACTTCATTTTTGTTTAATTTACATAAAACGGAAAATTAAAACGCCATTTTGAAAAAAGTTAGAAAATGGCTTATATACTGTTTATCAAACACCCCTTATGATTTTATCTTAATTGGCACACTTGTATTTTAACTTTAAATTATGTTTTTTTAATTGTTTGCATATGTTTTAGCTTTTATAATTTGTATATTTTACTTTTCTTTTTTGTGCATTTCTTACTTTTTTAAATTTTCAAATACCTATTTTTACATTCGTTAAAAAATACTATGTACATATTTTTACAATGCATCTTTACTTTCCAACTAACTCTAGTTTTTAAGTTAAAAAAACTAACTCTAATTTTTATATTTACTAGTGTGTGCATGTACAACGCACGGTAAGAGTTGTCGTGATTAAATTTATATCATCAAAAAAATAAAAATGAAAAGTAAACTTGCAAAAAAAAATGAAAAGAAAAATTCAAAGAAAAAGAAAGGAAAAATACACAAAATGGGCAAACACCCCAGTTTCATGTCACACATTGTTGTTTGTGTTACCATGGTCTAAGTTACATAGTTTTTCTTGAACAGGTCACACCAGTTTTACATGATAGTACCCATCAATTAAAGGGGTCTTAATTTTTTTAAAAAAATTATTAGTATTATATAGTGGTATTATATAATTATACAAATCTGATCCGAAAAATACACTTTGTAAAGAAGAATAATGCAGATCCTCCAGTATTTATTTGTCGGTCTTTTAGTCATTTTTACTCAAATTGTTTGAATAATGAGTTGTGTTGCTATAATTTAAGTATTAATTAATTTGTAGAAATTTTTATTTGCACTAGTTCATGAGTATTCAATTAATTTGAGTATAAGTATTTAGATTGTGAATGTTTTTAGTTTTTTATGTTAATGCGGGTTAAATTTATGCTAATATTACTGTTATTTTATTTATTTATGTATTTATATATCCTACATTTTTTAATGCATTAAAATAACAATTTATTTTCCTTATAATTAAATAGGGATAAGGCTCAAATTGGACACTATGATTTCATCAGAATCTCATATTGGACACTAAAGTTTCAAATGGACCAAATTAGACACTATGATTTCATATATATCTCATATTAGACACTAAAATTTCACGATTCATAGTTTTTGGACACTCACTTATATTGGATAAAGATCAAATTGGACACTCACTTATATTGAATTATGAAACTTTAGCATCCAATATGGGATACATATGAAACTATTGTGTCTAATTTGGTCCATTTGAAACCTTAGTGTCCAATATGGGATTCTGATGAAACCATAATGTCCAATTTGAGTCTTATGCCTAATTAAATATGCCCCCATGATCTCATTATTGCCTTAAGTGCAATTTAGCCAGGTTAGTATTTACTTTGATTTGTTTAAAGGTTATTAATGCGTTACGATTTTTTTTTTTGTATAGTCAAGTGCATGCATGAATGTATCACATGGATTTCATAAAAAAAAACCGTAGCATGGATTTTTATCACATGGATTCCATTATTCCACTGCACCGTAGCATGCTCAATTTACCTATTTTAAGTAGTTATGAACTTTTTTATGTGGTCTTAAACAACATAAATCAATCCACTCTAGCTTTGTACTGTGAAATCATTATACTTTGTGCCTCTCCACAAGGCATCGGTATATTTTCTCTAGGATCATATTCTTTTGCAAATTATACCGTGAGATCTTTGTTTGTGCATAATTTGTCAAAGTCAATGATGGTGTAGTTTTATACTCTTCTATCTCGTTGGACTTTGTCAACTAACTTTTTTTGTTTGTCCCAAAAACTTTGTCACGTTACTTTTAAAGTAATGAGTCTGTGATGTTCCTTATTTCTCACCCAAATGAGTCTGAGAGAGAGTATTAAAAAAATGCAAACACTCCTTGAGTAGTAATGTCTACCGGCATTAATATATGGCCATGTCTCTAGGGCCATTTCAGCTATGAGCCTATGAACTTAAATATTTAATATCCAACAATTTTTACAATTATTATTAGGGAAAATGGAAACTAATAATCCAACCTTTTAGCGGTTTTCTCACAATAATCCAACCTTTTGGTTATTCATGAATAATCCAACCTTTGCACCTCATCTTCATTCACTGGTCCCTGCCCGGTTGATGACCTGCTATTCCAAGCTATTTTCTTATCTTTGCAAATAATTATACCATAAATCTCATCTTTCACAAAGATAATATTTTACAAAGATAAGAAAATAACTTGGAATAGTAGATCATTAACCGACCAGGGACCAATGAATGAAGATGAGGTGCAAAGGTTGGATTATTCATGAATAATCAAAAGGTGGGATTATTGAAAGAAGACCGCTAAAAAGTTGGATTATTAGTTTCCATTTTCCCTTATTATTATACCAATAATAACATTTACTATTATTAGCTAAGCACATTGTGATTTGACGACATCACTGTATCCATTCGCAAATCTAGGAAGGGCCTCGTACCACTTGAAATTTAAAAAATGCTTAATTTTTAGTGTAAAAATTACGTTTAATTTTTTTTTTTTCCAAATTTTTTTTTTAAAATAATGGCCCATTCTGGCCAAGTTCCTTGGCTCCGCTCCTAACCGTGACACTCAAGGTGAGCAGAGGCGGCCCTTTATGTTCGAAGGCCTAGGGGCGAAAAATTAAAATGAGCCTAATGTTACCAAAAAAATTTAGAACTCTTTTCTATCTAAACTGACATGCATAATAATTTAGGAAGGAAATAATGGTGATCCTAAATCCCCCTCCAATGATGTAATCATTATGAATTGTTTCATTTTTAGTAGCTCAATTATTGTTATTCTATGAGTTCTCATGAGAACATTAAGAATTTGACTTCGTTACACAAATACACTTTTCCATTGAACTTTTTTTTACTTAGCGTCGTTTTCTCTAACATTCTCCTCTTTTTATTTATCCTATTCAAATTCGATCCTTTTTATTACACCTTGAAATTAATTAAATCTATAACATATATCATAATTGAAAATGTTTGTCTAACAAAATTAACTAGTTATAACACCAACGCTCAACACAAAACAATCAACAATTAAGAAATCAAACCATCAACTATAAATAGAATCAATTACTACCCCTGTCCCATTTATATTGGGACGGAAGAAGGTGACACAGTTATTAAGAAAAGTGGGTTTGTGTGTTTGATATTAATTGATAAAGTAAGAATAAAGTAAGAATGATTTAGAGCCACAAAAACTTTGCCAAATATGGTATGAGACAATTTAAGTGGGACTTCCCGAAAAGGTTAAATGGGATAATATATATGGGATGGAAGGAGTAATAAACTAATCAAATAATCATATAAGACTAATCTGCTTTCGAGTGATCTTTTTTATGAAATTTTAAGAGAATGTTTTTCATCAAGTGTAGATTATATCCATACAATCTCAGCTTAAAATTCAATCTTGAAGTCAGTTAAATAAATTACTGAAAACAATGCACCAAAATATGTATACAAGCGCAATGTTTTTCAATAATTTATTTAATTCACTTCTAAATTGAATTTCAAGCCGAATTTTTTAATACATAGTTTACACTTCATAGAGAACATGATCATAAGTTTTCACCAAAAAATTCCATTCCGAAGAACTTCAACAAATTACACTCGAAAAATTGTTAATGTAGTGCGAAAAACTGAGCCTACTTACACTATTACAAAGAACTAAACTTGGACCTATTTTTTATCCATTTTTTTTAGCCTAGGGCGCCCGCCCCACTTGCACCCCCTAGGGCCGCCCCTGAAGGCGAGTTATATAGAGTTGAAATTCATTAGAATTCAAGAATATTGATATTTACTACGTATAAAAAAGAATAAATAAGTGTGAGCACATCCCAATTTTTTTTTTTTGTACAATTACTAATTAGCTTTGGCTCTTTACCGTAATAAAAAACCTTCGGCTCTATTCTTTATTTTTTTCGAAAAAAAGCTTCGGCTCTTTCACACTTAAATTATGCTTAGCTACAAATTATCGGTTTCCTTACACTCGCGCTTCTATTTTTCACTTCATAAGTTTGAGAGAAAATCTCTCCCCGCCCAAATAACCGTTTCAGGACAGTGAGTGGGAGGAAGGCTATACACACAACTCCCATATGTATGTATCCATAGACAGTGAAAATGAAGAAGACAATGGAAGGTGACGGTATAGGTAAAGGTGGCGAGGGAAAACTCATACTCTCTGCATTTCTCTCCGTGCTCTGTTTCCTGCTCGTTGGATCAGCGATCATCGTTGCCTCCATCAGAGTCTCCGCTCTGAAAGAGAGCTTCGGCTCACTCATACTGATAGCTCCAGACCAGTACACGCCGGAACGCAACATCAACAATTACTTCTCCGTCCCGATCCTGGAGTTGCAGACGAAGGTGGAGGGCGCAGGAAGCAGCTCTCTGTATGATCCAGCTCGATCAGTTTCTGTCGTGGCGAATTTGATCAGCAGAAACGTTTCGAGACCTATTGAATCGCCTCCACGGAAACGAACAGCCAGTGTGAGTTAATCAATCGTCGTTGCTTGTAGCGCAGCTTGTTTGTAATCGTGAATGGCGGCGATTTTGAGTTTACAGATCGATTGAATTTGAAATTGAGTGTTTGCGTTTATACACATTGATAGTTTGACGGATTTTTGTATGCAATGTATATAGATTCAAATCTTACTCAACATTGGATGCTTCAATCTTTTGAAGTAACATGAATGAAATTAGTTTGATTCTAATTCTATGTATTGATTGAACTGAATTACAGAAACCGCAGAAGGCGGAGGAAGGACTGGCAAGAGCACGAGATGCGATTAGGAAAGCAGCTTCAACTCGGAACCTCTCCAGTAGGACGGTCACCGGCGGTATATACCGTAATCCCCAAGCATTTCACCGGTAAGTACACTAAAATTGAAATGACTACGGTAGAAAAGCGTTACTTTCTACTTTTACTGCACATTGAAATGTGAATTTGAATATTTGATATTCATCATATTTAGTAATGCATTAATTAAGTGTTCATTATTAATAACTGAATAACAAGTGATAAACGTGGGAAGGGAAACGTTGAACGTTCAGGGGTATAAGGAATGGGGGCGAGATTTTTGTTGCTTACTTGTATTGGGAACTACTTTCCTTCTACGTTACACACCAAAATTACAATAATTCTCGTTCGGCCGTTCCATATACTAATTATGATATAAATGTGATGAGTTGTAATTGTAATAATTATTGTAGTTCATACTATACAACTTATGTGTAAGAAAACAGGGGTGACCAGAAGAAGTCTTGAATTGTAACGGAAGCATGATGTGTTTGCTTTTGCGCACATACTCGATGTTTTCATGGAAGAAACACTCGATTGCATTGCCTTGAATAAGAAAAAAAGCCGCGTTTCTTATTCGTTATACTGACTGACCAGATTTGGCTTTCCTAAATTCTAAGGTTTGCTACGTAGTCTTTTAGCGAATGTTAGGAGCCAGAAGCAACTGAATATGTGATCACATAATTTATCCATATGCATTTTTTCTATAAATATTCACTCCGCTCATTGTAATGCTCCTCTGGGTTTCTTTCGAAAGTCAAGAATAAATTTTAAAAATGAAAAAATATTACGAGAGAAATGATAAAAATTTGAAAGTAGTCTCCACAAAGGCCGGTTAAAACGAGTTAAGGTCGACGTTTTAACCATTTTACCCTTAATATTTAGGATTTAGATGGTACATAGTACTTGCTACATACAACCACGGCGTATTCAGGATTTTTGCTCAGGGGCGAATTTGAGTATTAATTACAATTTCCCTTTTGCAGGACAAAAACTAATCAGTGTTGTAGAGAGAAAGATCTACGTAGTACTTCGTATATGATTTCATTACGAAATAGGGATAGATCAAGATTTACATGAATGAATTAATAGATTCATAATACTTAATTTACATAAAATGATCATAATATATATTCTATATACACGATAACACATTACATAGAATTTTCTTTCAAAAATGAGAATTTTTAGCTTAGTAAAATTACAAATAAGTCCTTGCAAAATGAATCAGCTATAAGAGACTAAGGAAAAAATGTAAACTCTGAAAGTGTTAGAAGGGATTTGAACCAACATCTATTTGGAAAATTTCACTACATTACAACAAATTATAATAACACTAATCAACAACATTAACATTTTAATAAAAGCCCAAACGCACACACCTGTATATAACTAGATATTGTGTAAATATGCACCTCATTCTTTTTCTATTTAGTTATCTTTGACTTTTCCGGTCAAAGATGGTAATCTTTGATTCATAATTTTAATTAATATATTTATGTAAAATTTAATAAATTTATACTTTTATGATAATATTTTTAACAAAGGACATTTTCACATCATTTTCATATCATTTTCAAGTTTGCCTAAATAAAAACGAATGTAGGGACTATTATAATACTATGTATCAATTAACAATGGGATCATGTACCAATTAAAATCCATGAACTACCATGGTCAAATACCATACGATAGAAGCATCATATCTTTTTCAGTTTGGTTTATTACAAAAATAATTGTCTCACGGTTAGAAACAAGAACTTAATTATATATATAGCTAAGTTTGATCCATAATTTCCTTAAAAAATGGATATGGAGCACAAAACTACTTCATGTTATTTAGGGTGTCAATTTCTTTTGTCTCAAAGTCATTGTATGAATGCAATATAACTAATGTTATGTTTAATGGATGACAATTTGATGCATCTCTTTATTTGATGTATAGGAGTTACCTGGAGATGGAGAAGAGGTTCAAGGTATTTGTATACAAAGAAGGGGATTTGCCAATAGTGCATGACGGGCCGTGCAAGAATATCTATGCGAGTGAGGGAAGATTTATTAGTGAGATGGAGCACGGGAGGAACAAGTTTAGGACGAGCAATCCATATTCAGCACACGTCTATTTCATGCCTTTTAGTGTCACTTGGATGGTCAAATACCTTTACAAGCCTCTCACTTATGATGTTTCACCTCTTCAACAATTCGTGTCAGATTACGTTAGAGTCATCTCCACCAAGCACCCTTTCTGGAATCGAACTCAGGGTGCTGATCATTTCATGCTCTCTTGCCATGATTGGGTACGTGCATAAACAACATTCACTCTATCTTACTCTAATATTTAGTTCATGCTTCTTAATGTCACGTTTTTACTACATTCATTTTTAACTTTTAGTTGATCCCCTTTAAATCCTTAATTTATATTAGCTACAAAACATAGTTTATTTTCTTTTAAGTATTATTTGATCTCCTTTAATTGGGTACATGTTAAGCCAAAAGGACCAGGGTGTAAGTATTTATATTACCCATAACTAAGATCTTTAATTTTAATGAGACATAACTTTACTTTTCTTTGCATGTAATAGAAGTTCAAATAAGAAGATATATACTCCTTTAGTTCCAAAGTAAAACTTCCTCTTTCATATTGGAGTCAACTTTGACAGTAAGTTGTACAGAGTATAAGAATCATATCAAAGTATAACATGAATTCAAATTGCTCTTAAAGAAATTGTCTTGACATATAACATGAATTCAAATTGCTCTTAAAGAAATTCAAGATATATACTCCTTTAGTTCCAAAGTAAAACTTCCTCTTTCATATCCGCCATTTTCCACAAAAGAAAACGTTGCATTTTGCAGCGGTTACATCCCAATCCGCCAAAAAACAAACATGACCATAGTCTTGAAAGAATAATTAATTACATATTCTATTATAACTTGACATAAATTAATTCATCTTAAATAGTGATAGTCAAACTTCAACATTGGAAATAATGAAAATTAAAATGATATCTTTATTTTGGGAGAGTTAGTACAAAATTATTACTTGCATCTATTTTTTTAAATGTGAATTGCATGGAACATGTGAATAAAAAATTATGATGTGTGTAAGGAGATGGATAGTGGGGGTAGAAAATATTAAATTTGTCTCAAATTTATTTCAAGTACCCAAATGAGTGGAGTGTGATAAGTTGAATGTAAACAAGAAAATGACATGATTAAATTGGTTGATCCTCTCCAAAAGGTTCCATTGTTAATTAGCTCATTCACCAAGTAAATGGTTGAGAATGATAAGTGACCTCCATGTACGTGCCTAATAAAATGAAAATAAATTAAATTTTCAGGGTCCACATGCATCAAAAGGCAATGCGAATGTGTACAACAACTCTATCAGGGTCTTATGTAATGCCAATTCCTCAGAAGGGTTCAACCCACAAAAAGACGTTAGCCTACCAGAGATCCATCTTTATACTGGAAACATATCACCCAAACTCAACCCTCTACCAACAGACCTCAATCATCACATCCAAAGGCCCCACCTAGCCTTCTTTGCGGGTGGCCTCCACGGCCCCATACGTCCAATCCTCCTCCACTATTGGAAAAATCACCCTGACCCAGAAATACAAGTCTATGAATACCTACCCAAGCACCTAGACTACTACACCTTGATGTTACAATCAAAGTTCTGTTTGTGTCCTAGTGGGCACGAAGTGGCCAGCCCAAGAGTAGTGGAGGCCATTTACGCTGAATGCATCCCCGTCATACTCTCACGTAACTATGTCCTTCCCTTCAGTGATGTGCTTAATTGGGATGCTTTCTCTCTACATGTTGAGGTTTCAGAGATCCCTAGGTTGAAGGAGATATTGTTGGGTGTATCAGAAAGGGAGTATTTGAGGCTTAAAGAAGGAGTTAAAGCTGTGAGGGTGCATTTCGTGTTTAACAAGCCTGCTCAAAGGTATGATGTGTTTCATATGATATTACATTCTGTTTGGCTGAGGAGGCTCAACCTTAAAGTTGAAAAATGATCTAGACATTCTTTGTTTTCAAACTTTGACACACATCTACATCCATCCAATTATCCCGTGTGGAATTCAAAATTGTAGAAAGTTATACGGAGTGTACTTGATTACTCACTTTTATAACGATACATACACTCGATTATCCACTTTAGAAGGATACATACAAGCTTTGAGTAATATGAAATTGTGCTTTGTGGCCTCGATAAAAAATACTTGCTAACCTACACTTCCATGTTCCAAACTGTACTATTTCAAGAAATGAAAATTCTGTGATTTTTTTTACAGAAGGGAAAAAGATAAGCTTGAGTTACATAAAAAGGATGAAGGTAAAAACAAGATCCATAGTCTTATATGATTTATTTTATGTTTGATCGAAGTATACAATAAAAATATGAGCATATTGACTGGGGAATACTATCTAGACCTTTATATTGGAAAATAAAATATGTCCACTAATATTAAATGCAAATTTATTACTTAGAAACCAATTTTAAAACAAAAATACAAATTACAAATTGTTTATTGTACTTGATAAACGTACAAAGACAAACTCTCATGAAGCTTGTCATCACCGATGTCCTAAATAAGCACTTCACTCGAGGGATTATCATACAAAAGAGCATCACAATGTCTTTTCGCTCATTCACATAAGATGTGATTGCTATGAGACTCTTATACAAGCGCCACTATATGGGAAACATGAAATCGACAAACACATGATAACAGTGAAGAAGAATTACCAATTGACCATTCTTACTTTATACATGATGGAAGTGTAAGACCATGATATGCACAACCGCACAGACTAAAATTGCGTAAACTATAACCAAAGCAAAAAAAATATGACTGCAATTCTGCAAAAAAAAACACTAGTTAGAGTTGTTATTTTCAAGTCCTATTAAAAGATTAAAAGATTGATATTTTTAAATCAACAAACACATCATGGAACCATGTTAGCCCTCGATACAAAGCAGGTGCTTTAGTCATATGTTGACACACACATGGGATGTTTGGGGGAAAATGTTGAACTAAGTTACACCAAGTGCTTGCATGGTAAATAGATCTACACTGCAATTACATTGGTCAGAAAACTAAGGTCTGTTAAAAAAACAAAAAGGTTTCTATTTTCCATGTAACCCGTTCAATATTTCCTTCAATCAATCTAATGACTCCTAAGTGACTACAACAACTCCATCCAACACATTTTTTTAAGTTCACCATATGCTATAAGTGTGTTGTCAAATACCGATCTACAAAATCATATTAGAAGTAAAGCGTGTGAACAAACACCACATACAAAGTCAAAAGAAGCTAGAGAGCATATAAACAAATAAAGAAAATCAAACGCTTCACATTTTATAATATGAAAGTTTTTTCCATTACCTGAGGTCCATAGTTCAGAAGGACGGTGAACTAGATGAAGATTTATCACATATAATCAACACATGATGGATGAAATAGGAGAGTGCGTCAGGAACTCTATGTGATCGAGATATGTGGACTAGAAGATTTAAGTCTGCATTATTGTACGAAGTATGACATAAAGTGTTGGGCGCTTAAACAAACTAACAAAGTCACATCCAAACACTAGGTGTGACTGAGATGCACATCTTGCATTGAATGTGTGAACATACTAGAAAAGACTGATTGTGGAATAAGCCAATTCAAAAAATAGTGGGAGTCACACCTATTGAAGATAAGATGCGAGAGTCTTGATTGTGGTGGTTTGACCATGTGTGTAGAAGTCCGGTTGATGCACATGTTAAACAAATAGGGAAGTGTAGAGCAGTGGCAGGGAAAAGAGGGGGAGGATGACCCAAACAAACGTGAATTAGAGTTGTCAGGATGATATGGTGCTTCTTGGGTTAAAAGAGAGTATGGCCTCGGAGAGAACGAAGGGGAGAGAGAATATTTGGGTGGAGTATTGATCTCTTTTCATCCTTTTTAATTCCGATTTCATATGTTATTCATGTTAGCCAGCTCAAACTCTTTTGGGATTAAAACTTTGTTATTATTGTTGTTGTTTAATTTGTATCTCATTTTAAAATATGCACTTGGAAAATCATGTGGCAACCATTTAGCAAAGGAAAATAGCATTGGCATTGTTCTGGTAGGTTTTTGCTAATATGCTGGCTGATCCACATCAAGTAGGAAAATAGAACTGACATTAGCTTCCAAGGCTCAATCTTCAAGATTGATGCAATATTATTAAACCATGAAATAAATAGTTTTTTATTGCAAAAATTTTGATGACAATATCTTATATGTAATGCATAATTTTCCAAATTAATCTTTAACCAAGAAAAAAACTCAGTTTAGGAAAAATAATTCATGTGTTATTGGTGTATTAATAATCATTTCATTCCACCTAAAAACCAATGCTTGAGTTTCACATATGTATATCTTATGCAATTTTTAATGTTAAGCAAACCTTGTGATCGAACACTAAACATTAGCTAAATTTTTATTTAAAAGCTTAGTGATGTACAAAGTTTTATTATATAAGTTTATTATTCTGCAATGCATACTTCACAATCGCGTACATTCTTAATTTAATCTATAGAAAAAAGTGCCAACACTCATACTCTTCCAAATGGATCATAAGTTATAATCAAGATTGTAATAAATCTTTATAAAATTCATTCTCAAATTATATCTAAACTCTTCATGTGGAAAATATAATGACTTGTTAGTTCAATTATACCCTTCAACATCAAATGAATAAAGCATTGAAATTTGCTCTTGTAAGATTTAGTGTACATAACTCATAACTTCTAGTGTCCTTAATTTTTTCATTATGTTTTATAATTCAATGTTCACCTTAAGTGAATAAATAAATGAGTTATTGATTAAATTTTTTATTTCTATATGCATCCGGTGTAGGATAATTTGATACGCCCCCTGCAAGATGGCGGCTCATGCTTTATATGTTAGTGTTTGTTTTCATACGCCCCCGCAAGATAGTGACTTGTGAGAGCATACCAATCTTGTACCCTGTGTGCTTGTTGTTCAGACTTATATGCATCTAATTGCTCGTTAGAAATTTAATCAGCTCTAATACCATATTAGGATTTGAGCTTTCATCAGTAAAAATCAACCTGATAGAGGAATAATTTGAATTTTATATTAGTTTTTGTTTTTAAGACAGCCAATGTGGGATAACTTAATATTATATATGACCACATTAGACTTATTGTAAACATTGAGCTTTGTATGGTGTTTTTCCGTGATACAATCTAATTTACAGTTCTGTCGAAAATTTTGAAATGTTTCTTACATGTTTATCACCTAATGATAGATAAAATATTTAGTAAACTAATTATATGAATATGTGAAACACATAAGCAATAGTGCTCAGTTGAGGAACTCACTGAAGTGTGTTTTACAAATGATGCAAAAGCTTTTTTATGATAAACGACTTATATTTATATCAAGAAACATGCAAAACAACTTCCAGACGGCTCTTATAGATCCGATCGTAAGCCACAGGAATAGACATAGAGCCAGCCACCCCACACAAAACAACATGACTCGCTGGACACGAAACGGACAATTGTAAGTCTAAAACGATCGAAACTGAAACACTGCGTGTCAAGAGTCTTCCAAATATCCAAGTATCACAACCATACATTCTCGAAATAAAATAAAACAAGTATTACTAAAGAAAAAACTAGACTAAAATATAGCCTCTTAATAAATCTTTTACCGACACGCAAGTGGCTTCAGAGGAGGACAAATTGCTGCGATATGATTGAAAACTTATTTCTTTTTTCTACCATACTATATGCAGGCGAAAATAAAGCATACAGCAACCCAAGACCAGATGAAGCTGCCCGGGACATTAAAACAACTCCCCACACTGAGGGAGACTAAACATACCGAAACATCAATGCCCAAAAAAGAACTGCCATAGAAAAATACAAAAAGAACAATAACAGAAGGATAATCAAATCGGATCATGACACTAGAAATTTTCATCCGTTAGAAATTTTCAACTATACATATTACGATTCGGTTACTCAATAACCTGTAAACATACTGAAAACCGGAAAAACACGATGAACCGCTCCGAACCCCATAATAACCTAGAACGACCGCAATCCGCGAGACCTAGAAGACTCGAACAAATCACTTAAAATTTTCAGCTTAGCTAAGGGTCGATATCCAGTACACACTGAGAAATGTTGGCTAGCCATCCAAATCACTACCACAACTTGTTGATATTAAAATCTCCTTTAAATTATTTGATATTAAAAGTAATAATTAACACACAATAAATATTATAATACCTATTATATCGTACTATATAAATGTAAATATAAAATTGAAATATGTAATATAAGTTAACATGCTTATACAATAGTTTTAAGGTTTTATAATGATATGTAGCTCATATTTATTTTTGAAAAGTGTGTGATATTCATAAGTACTTATTCTAGAAAGAAAATCATATCCAAATATTTTTTAAATGTAAGAAAATAAATTCCTAATAATAATTATTTACTCAAATAAGCCTAAAGCTATTTTAAAATATGATGAATATGTGAATATATATAATATCCAGTCCGGTTTTTAGAATATAACTTTAAGGTGAAAATGATACTCCGTATAAATATCCAAATTTTAAGGGGTGTGAGATAAATATCCCAAGCTTTCATATGCAATATATATGCATCGAACTTTATATAAAGGTTATTTTTTCATACCATTATTATACGTTTTTTACAAATATAGATTTATTGCAACATGTACATAAATTAAAATACTATATGCTTTGTTTGGATGCAATTATTAGCATCCTAAACTTCATTTGTGAAATATATATAATATTTATTATGGTAGAATCTAATTTGAATTGCATCTTCATAGGTGCTTTGTGTATATTAATTTATTTACTAAATATCATAAAATTACATTTGTGGAAAAACATATGATCATGGGGTATATATGAATGTTGGCGTGTGTGTGTGTGTGTGTATATATATATATATATATATATATATATATATATAGACTAATATTCAGGTCCGGCCAGGCCGGACCACTCCCCCCGTCCGGCCTCCTCCATTTGGGGGTCTTCCCGGTGGTATTTTTTGCTCAAATTTTTTGTGTAGGTTCCTCATCAAGTCTAGTTCATCCATACCAAATTTTTGCAAGTATATTCCGGACCAGTTAACTTGCAAAAATAATTTGACGACCTTCCCGATTGAGTTGTTGGCTGAAATTTGGTATGGATGAACTAGACTTGATGAGGAACCTACACAAAAAATTTGAACAAAAAATACCACCAGGAAGACCCCCAAATGGAGGAGGTCAGATGGGGCTCCGGTCAGGTATACCTATACCTGACCGGAAGAGTACTCTATATATATATATATATATATATATATATATATATATATATATATATATATATATATATATATTCAATGTGTAAATTTGCGTACTGTTCTCACGGCTTTCAAATTTTGGGATATCAAAATTATTTTTCCCTAACTTTAAACAATGAGAAACTCATTTGACACATACTAAAGTTTGATCCTAATAGTAGCTTGATGCAATTTATTTTATTTATCATTGAAAATTAAACGTTATTCGAATAATATGAATTATTATTGAACAAATTTAAAGAAGGTAAAATTTCAATATAGTGGGAGATCATACTATTTAAACAAAACAAAACGTATACAGTCTTATTTAAGGAAAAAATTAATCTATGTCCCATATTTTTAGCTAAATTTGAGTTTGCAGCATATTAGAAAATAATTGGTTTTGTGTTCAAAAATTATTGTTAACGCCTAATTTTTTAAATTTCTTTTTTACTAATTCAAGAAAAATTATAGTTTTTATTAAAATTTAATGATATTTTATAATATACGTGCTATTAAATGCCAATATTTATTATTGGGATGAATTTTGAATCTGAGTGTGACGATCAAACCTTTTTGGCACCTAAAAAAAATAACGTGTATATTACTAACAAAGTTTCTCCGGACAAAATATGACTAGTTATATTTTTCGATTAAAATATGACCAGTACTGTGTATAAGTAACTGAAACTAGTCATTAAATATGCCACTTTTTTATTTTTTTTTAAAATAAGTCATTTTTTTGTCATTTGAATTTAATCTAGTAATATTCATGGAACAAGTAATATTAGTAAATATTGAGTGCTTTGAGTTATCGTATGATTAGAAAAATCTATTTTACTAAGTGCTTAATTATTATGCATGAGACCGGCTCGGTTCTTTGGCAAAACACGTGGAACCATTTAAAAAATCTGAACTTTTAATATCGGTTAGGTCCTTATCAATTCCCATTTTTTTTTAAATCTCCTATAAATCAGTGCTAAATTAGTGTCACATAATGTCACTGAATGTTTGACATTATAACAAATACAAACGTTCAAAGTTACCATTATTTCAAACCTCAATAGTTAAACTTCAAATATAATTATAAAACAAATAAAAAAAACTACGGAGTAATAAGAAAAAAAAGACATTCACTACAAGAGGAATCAATTAAATGTAGGGGGTGGGCACGGTCCGGTCCGGTCCAATATTTGGCCGAACCTGTACCCGTACCGTTACTATTCAAATGGTTCGGTTCGGTTTGGTCTTAGACCTAAACCCGTTCGGTACAGTTTCATTTTGAAATGGGACGGTACCATGTTATATCAATACCAAACAATGTCACTTTTTCCAAGTGTTTAAGAGAAAATTAAAGTTTAGTTGTCCTCCAAAAATCTACACACTTTATCAATTTTCATACTCATTCCATCCAAATTGACATGCAAAGTCAATATTTTTTCGTCAACCAATGTTAGAGTTAAATTCTCTTCATTGATAATTAATTCAATTTGTAATAATTAAAATAAACATATTCAGAAACTACATTGAAATTTCTTCAAAGTTGCAAGCTCCAAATTAAATATAATTAAAAATTGACATTCTAGTTAAGTGAATAAAATGAATTTGTTTGACAAAAAAAGTTAATTTTGCAAATCAATTTGCGACGAAGGTAGTATTACATAATTAATAAATTTCAGATAAAGTATAGTAGTACAAATTTAAATGATTAAACCATACATCGATCCGATTCTAGACTTCCTATGAACTAGCAAAGACGGTGAAAATGTAAAAACACTAGTCAAAATAATGGTATAAATGTAAATTTAAATAATTAAATCATACTTCGGTCCGGTTCGGTCCGGTTTCGGTTCTCATTTTATGAGAACCGGTCATAGCATTGTTTAGAATCAGTACGGTTCGGGACAAAAAAATTGAGATCCGTTTCAAACCCCGTTTTTCGGTCCGGTACCATATCGGTTCGGTTCGGTACCATGCCGGTTCGGTATTTTTGCCCACCCCTAATTAAATGTTTATCAATGTATCAACTCTATTAATTAAACTAAATTAGTGAATTTAGAATATAAACAAACAAATATTGAAATAAACACTAATCAATGTTGGAACCAAACCGAAACCGAACCAGTTCATAATGGTTCAGTCCGGTTCGATTTGCCGGTTCTCAGTTAAAGTCCCACTCCTGGTGCTTATAGAAGTTTTCTCAGTGAAGTAAGAAAGGGAGGAAACGGAGTGGGTAGTACGCACAGGGCGCTTTTTAGCCACGTTTTACCCCTCATTGTTGTGATGATACGCCATCTCAGTTTTGCTCCTATTTTCCCATAGCTCTTCTAAATCTTACTCCTTCTTCCCCGATCAGATCACCAAAACCCTATTTCCCATTCTCCCTTGTTTGTTCCGCCAGCTCTAGTGTGAATCCTTCAATTTCAAACGATTTCAATTGATGATATTGGCTACACTTTTGTAAATTATTGGATTATATTGGATTGGATTGCATAATGCTTATTTAAAATTCATATACGCTTAAACGTTCAGAGAGAGGGAGGTGAATTGATTGATCGTAGTGCTGTAGCTGGAATTGGGATGCAGAGGCAAAGTCCGCCGAAGCATAGGCACGATGGGACTTCGCCTTTGCCGTTGGGAATGGATTGGAGCCCTCCTCCCAAAAGATGGGTATGTTTCTCTACTTTTCTATGAGTGAAATTTTGGATTTTTAGTTATATTGCTGGATCACTCAAGCTCAGGAGCTTAGCTGGATCGTTTTACTCCACACTGGAGTGAAGATGATTTCGGTGTCAGCTGATTGAAATTGGGATTAGGTTGTTTTGATTTTTACTTCTGCTGAGTTGTATTTGAACTCCAAGCTAACATTAACTAAGTTTTGAACTTAGTTCTTGTTGCTCGTAATGATATATTGATATCATCTTAAAATTTGACCATTATGAGGTAAGTACAGATCCCATAGTTGACTTTATAGTAAAAGAAAGGTTTCTGAAGACAGTTTAGAGAAATTAATAATGAGCTTCCAATCAAATCTGGGGTGCATGAGAAGTATGACTATTAGCTTTAGGGCGAAAAACCAGAAAAATGCCAGCTATAGTGATATCAATGTTAAAGACTACAAGAAGAAGAATATGCTTAAGAATTACAGTACTTCATTTACGTTTTTACAAGTTTTGCTGCTGAATTTATTTTACTATGCTCCTTTCTTCACATGCTAACTTCATGATAGTACTGCTGCATATTGATATCATTCAGACCAATGCAAATTTCTTATCTAATTTACAATTTTTTATTTCCAGGCTGGACAGGAAACTATATGGCCGCATGATCCTCAAACAGGGTGGAGTTATTGTGTCACAATCCCTTCTTGGATTATCGTTGCAAAACCAAAAGATTCAGATTCTGTAGTGGTATTCATTTTTTTTCCATTGCAAAAGTTAGACTTTTCGTATTGTGGGCGTTAATATATGATTTTCTTTGACATCGTTTAGGATTTTCCCAAGCGTGAATTTATTTTGGAAATCTAGAAAACGGCCCAGCTTCCGATAGAGAGTACTGAAATTTAATGTAGCATTAAATTTATTCAGTGCGTCTTGTATATGTTTGAAATAATCCTTCACCAACTAGAGGAAGCGGCCCAATTCAGCTGGTTGCCAACTCACTCTCCCTTAAGGGAGGTCGCGGGTTCGAAACCCCATGGAGGGAGTTTCAGCCCTGTTTACTACCTCAGGCTCTCCCCAGCCCCCTGACCCCCCATAAAAAAACAATCCTTCACCAACTAATTTTTTTCCGCTGTAATGCTGTTACAATAATATCAATTGTAATAGGTTTAGTTCTATCGTTTTTCCTTCAAAAGATTTGAATTTACTCATTATGAAATATTCACTTGCCTTACACACTCAACTTTTAATGGCATTTAAATATTGGTAGTTGTTGAACAATCTTAACCCTCTTAAAGGGCAGTTTTACAGGGTTCTGGTTGGCATACAATCACCGGACGGGATCACAACTACTCATGTCGTACTTAGAAGATTCAACGATTTTTTGAAATTTCATGCTGCAGTAAGTATACACTTATTGGAATATATACTTTACATGAAATTTCAAATTTTAATATATGGAAATATCAAGCGGAACAATTTTCTTTACCAGCTAAAAAGAAAATTTCCTACGAAAAACCTCCCTCCAGCTCCACCGAAGGGATTTATGCGGTTGAAAACCAAGACCCTTTTGGAAGAGGTAACCATTTATTGCTCTGTAGGAAGTTACGTAGTGTGTGTGATTTGAATGCCTTTTCCCTATGCTCAATAGTAAATCCTTTCTCTTCGAATGACTAATGCTCACGGGATTGTTGATAACAGTTTATTTGTCGCTGAGTCCTCCCTTTTTATTTTTTGATTTACATTCTCACATGTATTTTTTTGAAACATTTTTAAAAGACCAAAACTTGGGATTGTTAATAACTGTTTGTTATTTGTTAAGCCCTTTTTCTTTATGACTTAAAATCTCACATGCAATTTTTTGAGAAATTCCAAAATTTAAAGGGGTTGAGGAGATATAATATAACAGTCTTCACTTTTCTTCAATTATCATTCTTTTTGGCATCTGAGAATTCGAATTAACTGAAAATATAATATTTCGGTAAAAAGTATTCAAATTTCTCTTCATCCCCTCTTTGCCTAGCTGAACATGTCAGTTCACGCCATATACATAAAGTTCCCAGGGATTGGTAAATATTAGTATTTCCATGTAGTTCATTTCACATTTTAAATTAACCCTTACATGCCAAATTAATTACCGTGTTAGTGTTATTTTCTGCTCAATTCTATCATATTGATGGAGTTACTTAATGAACTATTCCTTTAAAATTCTTGAAATGAATTTAAGAATTTTACGAAATTCATTACTGTCATTATCTTTTCAGTTCTATCGTATTGCTGGAGTTACTTGAACAACGTTTCCTTGAAAGTTCTTGAAATCATTTTTGAATGGCTTCACTGTGCAGAGAAGGTCTTCTTTGGAGGAATGGATGACAAAAATACTATCTGATATTGATATTTCAAGATGTGTTTTCTCAGCATCTTTTCTTGAACTTGAAGTAGCTGCCAGATCTTGTATGCTCTTTCTTCCTATGTAACTATCCAGTTTTAAAGTTTTTGGTGTCCCTTTTTGTATGCCCTATAATGTAGCATTAGTTATAGTTTTCCTAGTATACCCTACAAAATTAGTTATGGAACACATACGAAAACATGCCAGGTTAGTGCTTTCGCACGTGAGGGTAAATTCGGTAAAATGCTGATAGTTATGATTAATCTAAAAACTCTTGGGAACTTCCTTAGTAGGCGTGTTTTGGATAAAGTAGGTAGATAATTAGGAACGGGGGGGATTATCATCATAATATTAATTGTAACTCATTGAACTAGTCTAGGAATTTATTTTTAACTCTGTTTAAAGTTGATTTGCTCCCCTTCGCTGGTTCTCTACTGAAATATTTGACACAAATATTTTAGCATTTAACGTTGAACAACATCTCACTTCAGAATCGAGACCTTCTATAAATAGTACAATTTCCTTCCTATTTAACGATCCAATTTTTTCCTATAATGTAGCATTAATTATCCAATTTTTCATCCTGTTTAACAATCCAATTTTTAAAGTTTTTGGTATTCCTTTTTATATGTCCTATAATGTAGCATTAATTATAGTTTTCCTAGTATACTCTACAAAATTAATTATGGAACACATCTGAAAACAAGCCTTAAAGGTTAGTGCTATCGCACATGAGGGTGGATTCGGTAAAATGGTGATAGTTATGATTAATCTAAAAACTCTAGGGAACTTCCTTAGTAGGCGTGTTTTGGATAAAGTGGGTAGATAATTAGTAACAAATGGATTATCATCATAATATTAATTGTAACCCATCGAACTAGCCTTGCATATTATTTTTAACTCTGTTTAAAGCTGATTTGCCCCCCTCACTGGTTCTCTACTGAAATATTTGACACATTTTTCAGCATTTAAAGTTGAACGTCTCACTTCAGAATCAAGACCTTCTGTAAATAGCACAATTTCCTCTCTTGAAGCTCAAGCTAGTGCAGGCTCGTCTGCAGTAGCTGGCAGTTCATCACATGCATCTGACTATGGTAGCGACACTGCTTATGAGGCATCTGAAATGGGGACTGAAGATCTCTCACTAGATGAGGATTTATCAAGTCCAATTGATAAGTTTATGAAGTATGGCATGTCCAATATTGATGAGGGATTGTTCATGGGACAGGCTATTTTAGAGCAACTTGGAAGTTTTCCCAGTAATAATAATATCAAGACAAAAGAGATTAATAATAATGTTATAGATGAGAGTATGAGCAATGGAACTGCATCAAAGTCTTCGTATAATTCAAGTGATAGTCAAATAATTCGTCATGCTAAAAAGTTATCAGCTGAGAGTGTTGCAAGTGATATCAATTGTCAAAGAGAGGGCGAGATGTCACACTCGGCATTTCCCAATTCATTTGGAAACACAGATCAACTACAACTGGTCCTTCCTTCAGATCAACGTCATAAAATGCATAGAATTCTCGCCACTCTGAAACAGAGATTGGGGACATCAAAAACTGACATGGAGGATCTTATATCAAGGTTAAACCAGGAAATTGCTGTGAAAGATTACCTGACGACCAAGGTATGGTGGTGAACTTATTAGAAGCTGATTGTGTCCTTTTTTTTTTTTTGATAAAACTTTGAAGTTAATAGAGATCAAACCTAGAACAAAAAGTTTACTTGGATAATAAAAGACAGAACTTACCAAATTACTCATGGGAAAGTATCCTGATTGGTTACAGTAATAGAACAGGAATGAAACACATAAAATTACGAGCATTACCAAATCTAATCAATAGAAGAAGCTCCTGTAGCAGCAGCAACTTCCTCTACTGTGAATTTGCCCTTGTCCTTTCCAGCAGCCCTTCCTTTTGCCTTCCTGTCAAGCAAAGCCTTCCGATCCTTGTCCAACTTCAGTTTGCTGATGACGACCTTGGATGGGTGGATACCAACGTTGACGGTGGATCCGTTAACTTTCTCCCGGGTGATGCGCTTAATTGGATGACCCATTTCTTACGGTAAACCTGTACAACCTTTCCGTCATGGCCCTTGTATGTACCGCGAACCACTGTAACCTCATCGTCCTTCCGAACAGGGAGCGAACGGACATTGTACTTGGTCCGGAGATCCGTGGAGAGGGTTGCGCTCATCAGAACACGTCGGACGCTTGACGGCGCTGTGAAGTGCACTTTCCGGCATTTCCGGCGGGAGCTGGATACACGCGGGTTGTACTTCATCTTCTTCAGTGTGGCTCTGCTCGGAGGCGCTGAAAGGCTCTGCTGATTGTGTCCTATTACTCAACATATTTTCTGGTCATTAACTCTTTATTTTGACGTGCTGACGGTGCTGTTATATAAATACTCTGAAATGGTTTGATCTAGTAAGACTATGTTTAGAATGAAGAAAATGGTTGGGGAAGGAAAAGAAATACGGAGAAAAATAGTTTGTACTGTTGACTTTACATGTAAAATACTAAGAAAATTCAAATTTAGTTATTATACGAAGTACTTACATATAGATATAAGCTTATAAAAGAAATATATGAATAATATGAGTTTGAACAAGTTTCTAAACTTGTTATATTGACTTCTGTTTTTTTTTTTTTTTTTTTTTTACTTTTCTCCAAATTTTTCTTCCATCATTTTGCAATGGAGCCAAAGATTCACTATTTTTTGGCTTGAGAATATGATGGAATGAAGCAAAATGGCTCACTAAACTGTCTGCGCTTCTTTGTTCTGAAACGGCATTGAATCCATGCAATTTTGGACGCTATTTTCTCTGTGCTTTAGCCTAAGGTGTTTTAGTACAGGGGTAAGACTGCGTACATCCGACCCCCCTACCCTACCGTAGGTGGGAGCCTTTGCGGCACTGGGGTAATGATGATGATGATGACTTTTCTCCAAATTTTTTTTCCTTCCATTTGTCCAAATGAACCGTAAATGGTTCACCATTGAGATATGGAATGAGAAATGTTAATTAACTACTGAATCAACTAATAGGTATTAGTTACTAGAACTTGGGTATCAACAATGCGTCAATGCCATTGAAGGCTTAAAGGGACTGCATTGTAACATGAGTGCATGTCTGCTGGGAAGACATGATATTATCTTTGTACAGAGATTTAGTGAATCAATATTCTAATTCTAATATATATATACAGGTCAAAGATTTGGAAGTGGAGCTTGAGGCAACTAAAGAAAAAAGCAAAGAGAACCTTGAGCAGGCAATATTGATTGAGAGGGAAAGAGTGACTCAGATGCAGTGGGACATGGAAGATCTTCGTCAGAAGTCTATGGAGATGGAGTACAAACTAAAGCTGCAACAGGTTTGTGTGACCAATCATAGTTATCCCTTGGTTTTGTAATTAATCATTTATTCAACCAGATGGTAATTATCGAAAATTCATCAGGACGAAATAAATAAAGATTCCACAGAAGTCAATTTATACCAGGAAAAAGATGCACTCCGACAGGAGTTGGCAGCCACAAAACTACAGATGGAGGTGCTAATGAAACGATATCATGAGCTGGAAGTGAATTCAAAACACGACATAAAAGTTCTTGTTAAAGAAGTTAAAACTCTTCGGAGTTCTCAATCAGAATTGAAGCAACAGCTTAACGAGTCATCCAAGGATAAAGATGAAATTGAGGTATATTTCTTAGGGTCCATTTGTTTCGCGGAAATGATTTTCCTTCTCTATTTTCCGGAAAAAAACGTTTTCCAATTTCCCCAGATTAATTCATGCAATATTGTTTTATTACTCTTCTTCATTTTGGTTATGATATACTCCCTCCGTCCCGCTAAGATTGTCCCATTTTACCTTTTCGGGAAGTCCCATTAAGATTGTCCCATACCAAATTTGGTAAAGATTGTGTGGCTCCAAACCATTCTTACTTTATTCTTACTTTATCAATTTAATATCAACCACACAAACCCACTTTTCTTAATAATCGTGCCACCTTCTTCCGTCCCAATCTTAGTGGGACGGAGGTAGTATCTGTTACTCGAGATTTGTTTGGGCTGAGGATTTTGGAGGGGTTAGACTGCAGAGGGCTTAGTCTATATCTTCAAGCTCATGCACATGTTTGAGGTTTTATTAAAAGTGAAAGATTAACATAATATGAGAATCATTTGATTCATATTTTATTCTTTTCGAGGAACATTATATTTGTCTAGAGATAGAATAAGCCCCTACAAAACCATCTATCTAACACACAAATATGGAAGTTTTTCTGAAGCTAAAGGGAATGGGTGCATATGAAAACACATTGCTCATAAACTAATTTATATATTGAGGATAGGCTGATTTCTTGTGTAAACAACTATCTGAGCTGTTGTATGTTGAAGTATTTATTTTGTGTTCTTGAAACTTTGAGTGGATTTTCAGAGGCAGTATGCACAGGAAAAGCAAAGCAGTGAGCAATCTAAAACCACTTGGAAGAAACTGCTGCATGATTGTGAAATTCTCCAACAGCACTTCGAAGGGTGCAAGATCAACTTAGCTGAAAATGTAAACGACCTTATAAAAAATGTGCAATCACTGCCAGATGCGAAGGAGCTGCTCTCCACTTCTGATGATCAAATCAATCTTCTACTTGCCAAGGTACTTCAGGAGTTCCTTTTTCCAGATCTTGTTCGTTTTTGGATTCTATACACCTATATGTTCAGACCTTGGACAGTGATTTCAAGAGCATATGCAAATGACCAATTATCAATTTTGTTGCCATGACTTCGGTGTTCTTATATGTTTCAATCTTCCACATCAAAAAGTATTTCCATTAGTTCACAACAAGTGAAAGAAGTCACGCATATATAAGCCATTGCTAACATCCTTAAGTGTCTAAGAAGGGAAAAACTATGAAATAGTACTAATTACATCGTCTAGGTTCTATGAAGCAGCACTATTATGAAACAGAAGTTAACCTTATTGTGAACCTAAGGAGTACCAATTTTATTGCACATGCTTCATTTTTGCAAGGCCCAAGGATGTGGTGTATTTACTAAATTGTACCCTACATTTTTTAAAACTTTTCAGGTGCAACGATTGGACGAAGGCGAAGGAATCAATTCGGTTTCCAGTGATGATACAAAAAACGTTTTTGATATTGACATGATGGAGATAATTGAGGGGGCGAGGAAGATGCTAAAAAACGTCTTTGTTAGTAATGCTAAATTGAGAAAGCAGGTAAATTCTGTGGTAAGAAATGCTATTGATACTAATGAAGTGTCTTCTCATAGTATAACTGAAGATCAGCAAGGTGGAAATGATGTAAAAACAGATGAATTAGATGAATAAGGTTGCATATGTTGTACAATTTTCTCATATATATAGAGGATGTTTTGCATCCATTTGACTGATAATTATTTACTATGTTAACTTTGAGATTCGCCTTGATGGTTTTGTTGTTAGCATCATTCACGTGTACAGATCCGACTAAGCAATATATCAAACTTAGCGTTTAATTGTGATTTCCTTTCTTTCTTGAAGGAGAGTTGTAATGTAAAAATAATGGTTATTTATTATATTTCAGATGCCAATTTTATCACTAAAAATTTTGCTATTGTTATTTTGTTATTTTAACCGTGGTGAGTGGTTGTTTGATATTCTGTAAGACTGTAAACCCAACGAATTATGGAAAATTTGCCATGTGAGTAAAAAATAGATTTTGAGTTATGGGTTTACAAAGAGAGTAAAAAATAAATACATAATCATGCCAAAACCGGCGAAAAAATAGAAGTAAAAACTGTATTTAATATACACATCATTTTACACATTTTTATAAAAACCATTATCATAAAAACTGTATTTATTATACACGTCATTTTACACATTTTTATAAAAACCATTATCTTACATAGTTACATACTACACATTTTTATACACGCTTCTAATTGTCTGTATACAAAATTGTGTGTACACGTTATTTTACACATTTTGATACATTGTTCATTTGTTTGTTTGTGTAGGGAAAACACTTCTATTTGTACACGTTTATTCCTCAAAAAGTTCAAAACTCTAAATAGTTAGTGTGTATGGCCGTATGGGTGTGTAAAACACTAAAGCATATGAATGTCTTCTTTTTGGAGCTGTTTTTAGTCTCATAGCAGAATAAATTAGACTAGATAGACTTCTTTAGTTATAAAATAGTAATAAAATGCACAAAGTCCAGACATAGACCAGTTCAAATCAGACCAGATCAAACTTGTAAATTTCAGTAAAAAAAACATCCTAAAACCGGGTACAACAAGAACAACCCTAATTACAATGGAGATGCAACAGTAATAATATTTCGACTGTGCATGATAAATTATTTGATGAACTTAATCAAAAAAATCGAATATTAAATTTGCCAAGATTAATGGTGCCAAGTGATTTCTGCACCAAATAAATATCCCAACTGGAAGTGAATTTGATAAAGTAGCAATTCAGACATGAAAAATCCAAAAAATACAAGTCTCATTTACATAAATTATTATTACTCCGTAATTTTATAAAGTTAAAGAGATTACAATTACTCCGTACTAATTAACAGGGAGGACCTTCTTCACAATTTCATCACTCAGAACAGAAATCTGGGAGTCCAATGCCTTTATCGTCTCCATCTTCTGCAACTCAAGCTTCTCCAGCGCCTCCACCAGCTCCGCCTCTACCTTCTTCCGCCCCTCCGCGAGTTTCTCCTCCACCTCCGCCATCGCCTCCTTCCTCATCTTGTTCATCGCCGCCGATATCTCCGCACGCGCCGCGCTCATCACCGCCGCCGCCTGCTCCTCCAGCTGCTTCACCTCCTCCGCCGTGTCCTTGACGCTGTTCAGCTTCTCCCGGATGGAGGCGTCCCTCTCGTCCATGAACTTCCCGAGCGGGGTGAAGTAGATCTTGTCGAGGGCGACCATGAGGAGCAGGAATTCGACCATGATGATCGGGAGGGTGAGGTTGAAGTCGAAGAGCGACGCCTTCTGAACCTCCTCCGCGAGCGACGGCGGCGGGGCTGCGAGAGTTGTTCCTAGAATCAGTGAGATGGATTTCAAATTGGGGGAGAGGAGTTGGTTGCGTTTTGGCAATTGCGGTAATTTTGGGAGGGTAGAAGATACTCTCAGTCTTTGGGTTGGAAGCGTGAGGGGCATTAGGGCTTTGGAGGAAGCCATCATCACGCCGGCCATGGCTGATTTCTTCTTCTTCTCCGGCTAATGCTACTTTGTGGCGTATGATTTATGTCTGTCGGAGAAGCGGAAATGATGAACTCTTTCTGATTGGTGAAGAGAGATAACAGTTGAAAACCAGAAAATTCTTATCTCTTTCGCTTCCACACAATATATGATGAAGGTTGAGGACGAGAATTTTCGCTTTTGATCACGTGTATGCACGTGACATTTTTTCTTTTTTCTTCTTTATTGCTACAGTGTCTCTATAAAAAGAATTTAGGGTTTTGTTCGATTAATCATCATGGACATAATTAAGGTAAAATCATGCTCTAGATTAACACTTTCATTGGGTTCATCTCCTCTGTCCTGCCAATCTTATGGGTTAACGCCTTCACTACGCTCATTCTCAATAATCATGTATGTTATGTAAGATGATGCATGTCTTTATTATCTTTTCCAAGTCTTTAGCACTCCACATGTCTTTATATGTTATCGACTTTGTTACACACCAAATGCTCGCTCAACATCCTTTCGTGCTGATTCTTGTTTTTTTGCAAATAATTTTTCCTTAACATACGATGGTTGAGATACTGTTTGGATAAGAGTGACATACTTTGGATATACCCCATCAGCTAAATAATAACCCATGTTGTACTCATGACCTTGAACAATGAATTTGAATGGCGGAGCAATACCATTAATTATATCATCAAATAGTGGTGATCTATCTAAAAATGATAACATCGTTGTTACTACCAGCCATTCCAAAAAAAGCATGCCAAATTCATAATTTTTGTGAAGCTACAACTTCTAAAATAAGAGTGAGAACTCTTTCAAAACCATTTGTTTGTATGCCTTGCCAAGCAGTGGGACAATTTTCCATTGCCAATGCATACAATCCAAACTGCCAAGCATACCGGGAAATCCTCAAGTCTCATTTTCTTCTAGGAGCACTCTAATATCATTCTTGTTGGGGGTTTTTCAAATAATGCTCTTCATAAAGTTCTATAATAGCATCACATAAACGCTTCAGGCTTTCAACCGCAGTACATTCTCCAATTTGAACATATTCATCTAGGAAATCAGCTGGACAACTATATGCAAGCATATGTATTGCTGCAACCATCTTCTGGAGGGGATTCAACCCAATGTTTCCAACACCTGCCTTGAAAATAATTGTCATAGTTCTCAACATCTTGTAGTATTGTATTGAATAATTGAATATTCATTCTGAATCTACAACGAAAAAGTTCGGAGGTGTACTTTGAGTTTTCACCTTTGAAGTAGTCATCACCTATCTACCTGATGTTGAGTCATCAAGAGAGAACTTTAGGCAACATTGAAGAAACAATCAAGGGAGCATCTAAATTCTTATTTACGCCATGAAAGTGGAATGTGAAAGTTTTAATTGACTTGTTGTCGATTATTTTAACGGAAAGTTCCCGAAATAGGACTAAAAAAGTTTGGAAATTCCAAAATAGGACTATCATGTTTTTTATTCCCAAAATAGGAGTAATTACTGTCAAGTTTGGAAAATACTGCCATGTTTGAAGTCTGGTACTGCCAAAACATGACAATAATTAGTCCTATTTTGGGAATAAAAACATGGTAGTCCTATTTTGGAATTTTTTAACTCTTTTAGTCCTATTTCGGGTAATATCTCTTATTTTTTAATCAAGGGAGCATCCGAATTCTCATTTTTCGGAATTAGTAATTGTAGTAACATTCTTTTTTTCATTGACCTGTTGTCCATTATTTGTTAGTTTTAATTGAAAGTTGCATTAGAATACAAGTTAGATGTATGCTTTTAGTTTAATATTTTCATATTTATTACAATTGATTTAATTGATTGTCATATTTTTATACACATCTAGTATCATGCAAAAGTACATTGTCTATTGAAACTAATTATTGAACACCATTAATATGTACTGCATATAATTTTATTATAATATATGTATGCTGCTAAAAGTGTAAATAACTTATTATTAATTACTTATATGTTCAAACTCCTTTACCCCTTAAAAATTGGATGTGGACTGCCATACTCAAAATGGTCATTGCAGGCTCTCGATGATCCACCCCAATGCGAACATTAAGGTTTTTGGTTAGTCGGTGAAAACAAAAATGTGAGATAGTTGCAGAGCCCCAAAACAAATGAATCTATCGAATTTGGAGTTATCCTAGCTCTTCACCGAATTGAGATGGATTCAAGGGCAATTTTATTGAAGGAAAATCACATAGTACTAAATCTCTAAATTTACACACAAAAATCTCACCTTTAACATCTTTTATACAAACTAATATTTCACCCGTGCGTTGCACGGAGTAAAATTATTTTATAAAACATTAGTAGTGTGTTTTTATGATAATATTTTAAGAAATAGATATATTTATTAGTGATATAGTGTATGATATTTATATTAAGAAATAGATTAGTTTATCAGTAGTATGATGTATATGATAATATATTAACAAATTGATATATTAATCCAACGTCGATAATGGTGTTGCATACACGACAAAGTTACTCTGTATAGTGGTATGAGAAAAAGAAGCAAATTTCATACTTCCCCCGTTCTTTTTTAGTTGCAACGGTCAACATTTCACACTTGCCAACGCACATCTTTGACCGTAATTATATCTTAATCCCTATTAGTAAAAAATATTTAAAAATTAGATTTTGGAAATTTGTAATGAGATGAATTGAACAATATAATTTTTAAAAAATAATTTTCATAAAATAATAATATAAAATGTAGTCAAAGTAGAACATGTGAATAGTGTAAAATTCAACATGTTGCGATTAAAAAGAGACGGAGGATAGTAACAAATAAAGTCACTAAATACACAATTTAATTTCCCAATCAAGTAATTATTTGCCTAATTAAGAGAAGCTTAACTAAAAAGGAGCAAAACATATACTTCGTATAATACATTTTCTCAAATAAAGGTAACATTATTGAGAAATGGTTGGAGATAAGACTAAAATTGTCCATATATACCTAAATAGGAGTTCAATGTTTTTAATACTTAAATAGGACTATATTTATCGCCAGTTCCAAATTTACCCCTAACCCCTTCAACTCTTTGCCTACTATCTTTACTGACTTCTCCCAGGCGTCCAACGCTTCTACTTCCAAATCTCAAGCGGCGATCAAATCTGAAACAAGGTGCGTCCATGGTGAAAGAGACGATGGACGGCGGGGAGGAGGTGCAGGCGGCGATGCGGCGGCGGTACGGCCGTACGGCATGGCCCCACGACTGCGGTTGCGGAAGGACTTGGTCGTACGGCGATGGGATGGGGATATGGCAGTGGCAGCTGGAGGCCCTTCTTCTCCTTTTATTTCGTTCTCCCCCTCCCTTCTTCGTAGTTGCACGATCGCACCTACCTGCCCATGTCTGACTCTCTGTAG